CTGCAAAGAAATACTGTCTAACTTCTTCCAGGCTCCGCCATGATGCCAACAAAAAACACTACTTTCTTGTTGTTGTTGTTGTTGTTGTTGTGCTTTATTGATGGTCGGCAAACTGAAACAGTGCACTGCTAGCTTTTATATCATAGACTGTACTACCATAAATGTAAACAGCTAATGCCACTAAGCAGGCATGAGCTTTTAATGTTCCTGAACCCAAAACTGTTGCTGTCCAACGTGAAGTTGCTCAAGTTTCTGGCGAAAAAACCACTGAAAGCAGTTTGAAAGTAATAGCCTAAAGTTTGACTGTGAAACACGGACAGTCTGGTGGACTCTGGTGTTCAGATGTGGTATTGTAACAACAGGATTAATTTTCCAGCAGGTGGAATGTTGGTTCACTGCTGACACGTTTTAGTACCATGTTCAGAGACAAATCGTACAGAATAAGGACTAATTTCTACTAATAAATTTATTTTACAACAGTATTTATTGCTAGAACATCTTCTAGGCTCAGAATCAGCTGTTTGACTTGTCAAGTCTGCCGTTTTACACAGTCCCAGCCTTACCTTGCCGAGCAGACTTTTAGCGTAATGCCCTCTAGTGGCTCGTAGATGTAAACATAAAGCCAGTAGCCCACCCTGCCAGACTCGTCCTCTGTTTAATTCTGCACAGAGAATGAGTCTGGTAACTCACAGGCAGAGGCGCTTGAGGGGCGGGACTAGGAAGCTCAATAATGACCAATCAGAAAAAAGAAGGAAATCCCGACTGTACCGCACCACGCGGTAGATTTCTGGTTGTAGCAAAAAAAAAAAAAAAAGCGTCTGGCAATTGCGCAAACTTCCTTTATTTTTTTTAGAAGAAATGCTTTTAGCGCTTCTACTTGTGGTTTTAAAGACATCTGAGCATAGGCGTCATTTTAACCGGGGACGCCGGGGACATGTCCCCGGCAAAATTTGTGATTGGCAACTGTGTCCCCCCCCCCACTTTCAAAACGCCTGCTGATGAGGATTTTTGTTTTACCAGCTCAGATCTTATACCAGGGGTCGGCAACCTATTCCCATCAAAGAGCCATTATTACCCGTTTCCCACGGTAATTTTGGACGGACCTTTATAAGCAGTGACTTAAGTGAAGCAGGCAGGTCGCGCTCGAAATTTTCGTTTAAAAAGACGTCATAAATGTGTTCCCCCGTCCTTTTTATTTATAAAATATGAAGTAAAAACTCACAATTTAATGTTCATTCATTTGTCATTAATCTACAACCGTGCTTTAAGTGGACCATCTTCAAGTAAACGCAAAGCATCCAGTCCACCTCTCCAAATGCGTAAAATGTGCATCAGCCGCTAGTTAGGCGCGCGCGCACCATCAGCTGATCAGCCCAGACAAGAGCAGAGCAAATAGAGAAAGAATAGATGATCATTCTGTCTGGATGTGGATGGAGATTAGATTTTACAGCAGCCTGATCATCATTTAAATACGTAAACCATCACCTGGCTTCTAGTCCATGCTATCAGCATTATTTTAATTGGTGTGTGTGTGTGTGCGTGCGTGTGTGTGTGTGTGTGTGTGTGTGTGTGTGTGTGTTTTCCGCTTCAAACACTGGTCTAACCAACCAGACCAGCGTGTCCAGTAACATATTGCTGTTACAATTCAACAGTTTCACTTCATGTAGGCTAGGAACATTTCACCTGCCGTGGCCCGACCGCTTCTGCTCCACATAAACTTTGTGCGTGATCAAATGTCTCTACGCGTCATGCGTCTCCATATTAGAGACGGGAACAAGCGCTGTTCAGCCAAAGTTTCATAATTTCATAAAAAGAAAATTTTTCCAAGTGACACATCCCTCAGAGAGGCCGGGTTTCCAGACTGTTTCAGTGGGAGGAAATCTTATCGCATGCGCCGTGGTTCTGTACTGCGCTGGAACCCCAGATCTTCAGCTCACTGTCCACCGTGGGCGCTCCGAGCCGCGCTGAACACAGTGTCCAGTATAAAGCTCTGATGTTCTGATGGGAATATTTTACCTCCGCGATGTGCGTTAACGATTAAAATGTCAGCTCATCCATGCGCATCCGTGTGCGTCGGGATAATTCTCTCAAACCAAACAACATCCTTGAGTTCATCTGTCAAACTAAACAGTCAAATGGACATATATGTAACCTGCCGTTTAACTGTTTTGCCTTCCTGTGAAGATTGTTGCAAAGAGAAACAATTAAACTTGATTAACCCCAGAGCCACCCAGAGAACCAGAGCGCATGCGGGAAGGTTCCTCCCACTGAAGCAAGTGTTTTCCAAACCCTGTCTCTCAGAGAGACTTGTCACTTAGAAAATGTTCCCTGATTATGAAACTTTGGCTGAATAGTGCTTGTTCCTGGCTCTAATGTGGCGACACATCCAGGAGCCGTCTGAGGAGAATCCCAGAATCTCACATCCTCTTCAGCTCATAAAGTGCCTATATGATTACGCACAAGTGTGACCGGTCAACCACCACAGACCGGGTTGGACCTGTTCAGGTTTACGCAGATAATCTTTACATTTAGAATTGGCATACAGGTGTAAAACTAATGCAGTAAAATATAAAACTTTTTATTTAAATATCCATTCATTATTTTATAAGCACAGAGAGCCGCATCAGATGGATGGAAGAGCCGCATGCGGCTCCAGAGCCGCGGATTGCAGACCCCTGTGCTAGCCTACTTTATTGTCCCCAGCAATTTTTAAACCCCACTCAAGTGTATGGTTATTGTCCCCAGCAATTCTGAAAACAAACTGACGCCCTTGCATCTGAGTCATTTAGAACAGAGGAAAGAGCTGCAGCGAACTCCGCCACTGTCTTTGTTGTTTATGAGAAACTGAGCATCGCTGTGTGACGTCCGCGATGCTGAAGTTTTTTAGCTGTAGTAAAAATTGAGTCTGGCGACAGCGCAAACATCTTTGTTTAGAAGAAATGTGTTTTGTTGTACTTTTAAAGACATGTTCAAATCATTTAGAACAGAGGAAAGAGCCGCAGCGAACCACTTCAGTCACCATGTTTTTGAAAAACTCGGTGTTGTGGTGTGTGATGTACGATGCTCAGCTCTGATTGGCTGGGTTAGAATTCTCAGGGGGTGGGGTTATTTGAATAGGAGAGTTCCCAGACCCTGTCTCTGTGCAGAATTAAACAGAGGAGGAGTCTGGCAGGCCAGGCTATAAAGCCAGTGTTGTGCCGACAACATAACATTTTGAGTATTTTTTAAAGTAGAAACTGTACATTCATTCTGCACATCTCTAAATGCCCTGTGGAGGTTTTTTTTTAATAAAGCTTTTTATCTAAATGATCCATATTCAAAAGTGTTAAATCTCTAGTGTTGCTTTGAAGCAGCCTTAATAATTTTTATATATTTATTTAAATTACAGCTGCATTATTTGGTTCTTTTTCAACACAGCTAAGTGGTTGTATTTACCTGGTTTTAGCTGGCCTTTCGACTAACACTGTAGCCCTCCTCAGAGCTTTGCTGCTGTTGCTAAAAAAGAGCCAAGCAATGCCGTAAGATGAAATACACAGAATGAACGTACAAAATGTGTTTCATCACAGCTGTTTTAGGACAACATAAATCCTTTTTCGCCTTGATATAGATCTCACTAGCTCATCATTCCCCTCAGAGCTCATTTCTACTCTCCAAACTGAGGCTGTTCACAGAGCTTTCTATGAGAGATTGTTCATTTGTAAACGTTTCCCAGAACCTACTTGAAACGATCTGAAGTTTCTCTTTAAAGGCTGCAGTCAGGAATACTTCCTCAGTGTCGCTCCACACATCAAGAATATGTCAAGTTTGAATCTGAAGATGTCCCAAAGCCCCTCAGATCATTAATCTACCCACGTGAACAGCCTCACACTCCATCTGTCAGCCTCACTCAACCTCAGTCACCTTGTTGCTCCTAAACTCGCCCACACTGATTCATTCAGCATCAGTGTGTTATCAGGCCTCCAGCCTTCTCTCCAAGTGCCCTCCTCATTTTAGGAAATGGCACAAAGGAATGTTCTGAAGCTGCCCGCTGTGATTCACCGCTGAGGCACACTCACACATAGCTGGTTAGCCTTTACAGCTTAGCTCATTATTTCTGACTGAGTGAGACGTTTGGACATGAAGACCAGCAGTCTGACTCAGAGGGGCGCAGGAGAGGAGTCAGGTGGAAAACAGACAAAGAACTGACTTTGTTCCTCCTTCGTTCAGAAAGCTGTCTTGTTGTGTGTCAAGATCATGGGCGTCATTTTTTTAAGGGGGGACACTTTTTCCAAAGTTAATTTTTGTCCCCTGCAACTTTTACCATCCAACAACAATATTACGCTATGTTACTAAATAAACCGGTCGAGCACTAGGGCCAAGAGTTCAGCTAGAATTGGATGTATGAGCTCTATTGATCAGATATTCAAATAATAAGTGTAAAATCGTGACAATGAGTAGGAATGAAAATGACTAACAAGCTGAAAAACAAAGCTGAATTGAAGGTAATAGTCGTCGTCCCCCCCCCCCCCCCCCCCCACACACACACACACACACTTCTAAAGTTAAAAGTACAACCATGGTTGGGATTATAATAAAATCTGTAATCTGGAATTTTGTTTGTGTTTAAAAGTCTAAATCAGACATAACAGTACCTAACTCTAACGACAGTTTCCTTTATTTAGTATAATATATGTATAGTAATAGTATAATATATGTATAGTAATAGTATAATATATGTATAGTAATAGTATAATATCATGTATTCCACTTAGAAATGATCTGTTTAAATGCAACCAGAAATGTAAACTATTTGCATTCAAATATTCAGATTCAGGTTTTATTCAAATCTGATATGATGCAATCTAAAATTTAGTTATTTATTGATCTTGTGATCAAACTCGTTCTGATTGGCTAAATGATTCAGGACGCTCTTCCCTGCTCTGACCTGCGGGTGTGCGTAATCCCAGGATCACCTGGACTGTGCGCGCTCGGAGTAAAGGGGCGGGGCTTCGCGGAGGGCTGGGATGAGAGCGTCTCTCCGCAGGATGCAGTCACTCAGTTGACTTCTACGAGACTCAAACCGAGAGCCGCTGGTCGTGTGGAACAGTTTGGAAACCAGGAGAAGTCTTTGGAAGAACCTTTTCCCGGGGCTCCGTTGACGCGGACAGATAAAACATCACGTGCCCTCTGTGGACGGTCAGCAGGAGAGAGTCGGGTCCCGGGCTGGTGTTGAGGCGGAATATGATCTGAATGAACGGAACTAACAGCTCTGCTGCTCACTAACAGGTGGGTTCATCTCAGATGCATTTTCTGCTCGTGCGTAAAGACTCTGACCCTTTACTCGTGCTCTGCGTTTCTGTTTGAAAGTGTTTTTCTGGCTCGCTGCACCAGTAACACCAGTAACCTCCCATGTATGGTTTCTGAGACCTCTCTCCGTGACTCATTTTCCTTTCTAACTGCAAACATTTCCCTCTCCTTTTGTCTTTTCTGGAGCAGCTCTGCCGTGTGATGAAATGTGTGTTTTTTTCGGTGCAGGTGCTCAATAATGTGCTCGTATTACTCATCCGTTCATTCTAGGCTTTTCCTCCCATTAACAGAAAAGTAACACCCTCGCGCTTCTATGCTGGGATATGAAACTGCGTTTGTTATGCCACCCTTGGTCCATCACAGCTGCTATTTTCCTTTACTCTACTGGTTTCCCAGTCATACCAGTAACCAGTTGAATGGGGTTAGGGTTATGAGTGACTGCTTCCAAATAAAAGCATGCCTGGCTCTGGGTAAACCTGCTGCCTTTGGTTTGGGATGGAGTTAAGACCACATCCACTTGGAAGCTACACAAATGCACATTTATAAATTCTCCGTTGTGCCCCCACCCCTCCTGTCTTCAGCTGGTCCCAGTGGATTTCATCGGTAGGGTTATTCATCATTCCCCCATGCCCTCTCCCTCCTGCCTCTTTTGTTATAATTGAGTTGATCTCCACTCCCTTGGGGATTTTGCTGTCTAAACTTGGTCCTGCAGTCAACTCCCTCTGCAGCGCTCAGCCCTGGCTGATTCACCACTCTGCCCTGTGCTGTGGCCATTTGGGAACAAAGCTGTGAACCACAGAGCTGCTCACCCGGGTCCCGCTGCTCTTTACTCCAGAGCCAGTGATGAAGTTACCTTCATATGGAGATGGGTGTTTAGCTCAGCGTGACTGCTTGTATCTCCACTCACTGGCTGCGGTGGAGTGAGTAACCTTGGGCTTTGACTCTGACGCAGCTCTATTTAGGACAGAAAAGGGGACGTTCTGGCTCCACTTTCTCCTCTAATCCCTGATCCCTTCCGACTGTCGGACCCTGTTATTCATTTATGATGAGTGTTTGGCTGTTAGTGGAGATATTATCACTGACTCGTTTCTCATGTCTCTCCTTTTGGGAACAGGATGGCCCTTCTGTTGCTTCATACCGCTGTGTTGCTGTGGGCCCTGTGCCCCAGTTTGCAGGACCAGTGTGATAAATCCTCTGAAACCAGCAAACTGAACCTCTCAGTCACGTACAAGCTTCCAACCTTCACTTCAGACTTCCCAATCCAGAACATGGTGACCCAGGATGGGATTATCTACGTCGGTGCCGTTAACAGAATCTACGCCTTGGCCCCAAACCTAACAAAGCTGTCGGAGTACCACACAGGACCACTGCTGGCCAACGAGACCTGTGGCCAGACATTACCGAGGAATGGCAGCAGCACCAGGTTCGACAACCACAACATTGCTTTACTGGTGGAAAACTTTTATGACAAAGAGTTGTTCAGCTGCGGATCAGCGGATCACGGAGTGTGCCGCCGTCATGTCCTGAATAATGACAATTTCCTGAAAACCGTTGACGAGGATGTTTCCTGCTTTGCTGACAAGGTGAGCCCGGGTCAGGGGCAGCCAGTTGACTCGGATGTTGTGGTGAGTCCATCGGGCTCTCAGGTGCTCAACGTGGAAAGCAACTTTGTCACTTTTTTTGTTGGAAATTCCGAGATTCCATGGGCAGAAACCCCGTCCAGCAATGCAGCGCGTCCCCACACCATCTCTGTCCGGAGGATGAAGACAAGCCAAAATGGCTTCTTCTTGTTCTCCAACACATCACACATGGACCTGATCCCATCTCTCAAAGGGAGCTACTACCTACGCTATGTTCACTCTTTCCACAGTGGACCCTTTACCTATTTCCTCACCGTGCAGCGGGTCAGCAGGGACAGTAAGGCATACCACACCCGCATTGTCCGCATGTGCTCCTCAGACCACATGATTCGCCGCTACGTTGAAATGCCCCTGGAGTGCATCAGCACTGACAAGCGACGCCGACGGTCCTCCGACGACGTGAAGAGGTTCAACATCCTTCAAGCCGCCCATGTCACTAAGGTGGGCAACGATGTGGATCTGCAAAAGCAACTGAAGGTGGAAGAAGGTGAAGACGTGCTGTTTGCTGCCTTTGCTCAAGGGAAGCCAAATTCTCCAGAGCCGACTGCGAGCTCGGCCGTGTGCGTCATGTCCCTAAAACACATCAACAAAATGTTCAAGATGTACATGCAGAAGTGCAACACAGTCAACCTGCATCACTTCAACGGCTCAGACACCAAGTCCTGCTACAATCTGGTAAGAGCTGCACGGGGTTGGGGTATGCTGCACTGTCTCACTCAGCTGACCACGGTTCACAAAGGAGTTTCCAAAATGATGCAAGTGTTTGCTACGCACCTCTGCTTGTTTGAGTTACAAGCCCTTGCTCATTTGTAGCCCAAGTTTTGAAGCTGAGTCATTGAGGCCGTCTTGAATCCCTCCAACTGAATTTCTTTCAGAACTTTAGAAAACTGAGAAATGACTGTGGGATGGATGGGAGATCCATGAAAAAGAGCTCTGACTTACTAGAAACAAACAAAATAAACCAAATCTGAAGATAATATTAGGCTAATTAGTGAAAACAAGACATGATTGAGACACGCTGGGACTACACCTCAGTGAGGAAGCGTGTGCAGCGTACAGTACAGGCCAAACGTTTGGACACCATCTCGTTTAATGACTTTTCTTTATTTTCATGATTTTATCTTTATTTTTATTCTCACTGAGGAGTTATGCACTTAACATAAAAGGTGAATAAACTGAAACATGTTTTATATTCATTTTTCCTCTAAATAGCCACCCTTTGCTCTGATTACTACTTTGCACACTCTTGGCGTTCTCTTGATGAGCTTCAAGGTTTAGTCACCTGAAATGGTTTTCCAACAGTCTGGAAGGGGTTCCCAGAGGGGTTCAGCACTTGTTGGCTCCTTTGGAAATGGTCATGGTCATGAAAATGAAGAAAACACATGAAACGAGAAGGTGTGTCCAAACTTTTGGCCTGTTCTGTATTTCTGTGTTCTGTTCAAAGTTCTGAAAGGTCTAAGTGACCGACCTGGTGGGATTATCTGGAAAAGGCATCTTTTCTCACTGTTGTGTTCTCAGGCTAATGTGTGCTGTTTATGTGAGCGATGCTTTTTAATGCATTTATTGTAAGATAACTAGAAACACACAAAACACAGACTTCTGCACACACACACACACACACACACACACACACACACACACACACACACACACACACACACACACACACACACACACACACACACACACACACACACACACACACACACACACACACACACAGGGTTTTAAAGTGATTTCTCTTGCTGTGTTTAAGCCTCATAAAACTTCTATTCTCTTTAGTGACAGAGGTCTCCGTCAGTCCTTTGGTACAACAGCATGTCTCCATTTTGTTATCCTTTACAGTTTCAGACGGCTGTTCGTCTGCTGCAGGCCATTTGTCTTGGTTTGTGAGTGTGAGTCTAAGTGCCCTTGAGCCAGAGCCTGACGTCTGAGGGGTCCATGTGATCAGTGCTTGACGGTCAGTGGAGTGTTGTAGGCAGCCTGAGGCACTGTGTGCAGGTTCTGTATCCAATGCATGAAAGCAGGTTGTTGACTTTGAGCGGTCGAGTCTCGTCAGCGTTGGCGTGTTTGCTCTGTCCTCAGTGAGTTGAACGTGCTGGGCTCCATGTTTAGCTCTAGGTTGTGTTTGTCCATATTTGGTGATCAGACTGAACCACGTTGCCCTTTTCAAACACAGTTCTTCAGTTTTTGCTAAAATATGCTAATGATGGGTCTACACACAGCAGGACAGCCAGGGAGATGTTTTAAGTGTTCTCTAGACGGCCTGTTTACCTGACCTGGTTCTAGGTAACAATAACCTTGGGTTGGTGAAGGCTGGACTGATGGTCTAAAAGCATAAATGAAGAACATTTAGATTGGACGGGCTTTGCATACCAACACAGTCTGGGTGCTCTCTTTACACTTTAGGGTGACCTTACCTCTGTAGTAATCTGTAGTAACCTGAGTAAAACTTCTGGTAGAAGCATTTGGACCAGGATCTCACTGGCCTCTGACTGCAAGCAGCTCATCTGCAGGGAAGTTTCTAAGTTTTTTAGGTATATCCCACGCCATGGGGTCCCGTTGGTGGAGCTGATGCAGGTGACTGGGGAGAGGGCTGCTAACCTGTGACCTGGACCTGGATAAGCGGAAAGAGACAATAATGAACAAGCTGAGACCGATGGCTGGTAAATGCTCCCTGTGAGCTGGCCTGATGTAAAACCTCCTCAGAACGTGTTTTATGTGAGAAATTATGAAAAGTTGCATAATTTACTGTGGTTTTGTGTCTCTAGCAAGTCACCAACCTTCACAGCAGTGGGCTGCTGGTGTAACAGCTTGGCTGCACACCACAACACACACCTTCTCAAAGGTTCAAAAGACATTTTTAAAGGTTGTATCCAGATTTCTGGTTTATTTTTGTAAATGTTACTCTTTCATTTAAAACAAAACCCATTCACCAACACGATGGTGAGTTGCACAAGCCTCCACATTGCTGTTTTTTTTACCAAGGCCTATGATTTGGCATCCTTTGGGAGATCAACAAGTGGAGAACTACTTCCACCCATTAGCTCTTTTTGAACATGTGTGTTGGTCCATGGAGTAATTAGATATAACACCTTTAAACAAGAATTGTTCTAAGTATAAATATCTTCATTCATTCATTTATTTCATTTTCATGTCGAGCCAGCAGCGTTCCATGTACAGAACGATTACAGCAGAAATCAGAAAACCACATCTGCACGATGAAATCTAAATGTGACTAAAAATATGTCACATAGTGAGACGACTGCTTTTAAAAATCTAAAACAAAGACGATGTTTACTTCTGCTTAATGTCGCTTTCATGATCAATTGCATGCCCATTGAACTCTAATGTAAAATTAAACAGACTTATGTATATATAACATGAACATGCACAGCATGATCCTAATTCTGGTCGGACTGGAACACTTTATTTGCAGTAAGTAGGTCTAATTTACAGGAGTTGTGGGATCTTTAATTACAGAAGTCCTAACGGTGATGATTGTAAGATGTGATCACACCAGGAGGCGTGAGCTGTGGTTTAGCTTCTACAAACCAGCTTCACAAACACGAGGCGGTGCGGACCCATCGCTGCTGTCCTGTCAGCCATCAGCAGCGGAGATCCGCAGGGAAAGTGAGGAATGCTGGGAGTTGGGGTGGGGGGTGGGCGGCAGTGCATATCTGGCTCTCAGCGAGCCGTGATATATGGCTCCGGGATAACAGGACATCAGCAGCTGGGCGGAAGATGATCCTGCAGACTGGCTGTGGCGGCCTGCCACGCGGGCGAGGCATCATCCGCTCGACCTCCACCTGTTAGCTGCACCTGTGGGAGAATGGAGGCTGCATCAGTAACAACTTGAGTCCTCAGCTTTGGAAAACTGGAAGAAACGTAGAAAAGCACATTTTTTTGGCTGCGTGTTTGTTTCATTTGTGACAGAATAAATACCGGAACCTTTTTATTCAGTCAGAACTTCTGGGTAATTCCACTGAACCTTCACCGGGCCAGCCCAGAAGAACCTTTTCCCGGGCCGTTTCAGAAACCAAAACAGTACCTGACCTAGGGTGGATACTAACCCTAACCCAGTCGAGTGGCTGGGCTGGACTTGTTAACTCATGCTGATTGGTTGTAACTCATTAGGAAATGACCTCAGCAGATGTCACCGAACAATCGCCGTTAGTAAAATTACAATCATTGAACAGAACAGAAGGAAAAACAGCACTGCCTCGGAACAGTGTTTGTAAACTCCAACGCTGAGAACTGCATCAGAAATCGCCCGCAGAGCGCAGGAAAAACGGCGCTTCTTCTGGTCATTGAATGCAGCTTTTTACATCGTTCAGCAGCTCTCCCGGTAACACCTGTTCTCCTGACTCAAAGACACCTAAACTCAGCAGAATCAAACCTTTGATGTTGATGTGATGTCACTCACTGATATGCTGACGTGTGTGCAGAAGCTTCAAAGGGATGATTTTGTATGTGGCTGGGGTCAAGTCGAGGCATCGTATCTCCCGCTCAGGCCTCTCCCTCCCAGATATTTCCCAGAACTCCTCTGGTGGTAATGAGGAGCCGTCAGAAATGGGTTTTGTCCCTCAAAACCAGAATCACTGCATCGATGGGGAAAAATCTGTGTTAGACTTGATTCCAGATCAAATGCACATGAAGTCATTTTTAATGAACAAATTGTGATTTTTTTTCTCGTTGGATTTTACATCCTTTACTTTTGTAGCAACAATCCTGAAAGCAATTCAGGAAAAACACTTTTAATGAAGTAAACTCTCCAGACAGCTGACCCTTTTCTTCATCCTGAGTCGCTGACTGGTGGACGGCGAGTCTTCTTGCATTAATTACAACGTTTGAATCTGTTTGTTTGCTGAAAACGAATAGCTCCTAAATCCTGCTCTACGCAGCCCCAAAGCAACAACATCCTGCTGCAACTCAAACAGCTTCAGATCCTTTAGGTAATATTTGACAGGAGTTGTGTTGCAGCATGTGACAAACGTTAACACGCACCCCTACAGTAAAGGTCTGCCCCCGCAGAGCCTGCTGAAAGCGTCTCTTCCTTATTCAACATTCTTTCCTCTTGACTCACCTGATTACAGGGTAGCATCAGTTTTTGTTCAGAGATGCACGAGTGTCTCTGCGCATCGTAATCTCCTGAAGAGTTCTTTACGTTTAATACTTTTAATCATACCTTAGATATTTCTATAATACACGTTGATTTTCACGTTTGTGCAGAAGCTGACCCTGTTGCCATTAGTCTGAAACTCTGCCAACAGAGCTTTTATCTACTCGCCTCCAAATCGTCTTTTATTGCTTTGACTCTTGATTGCATCCGTCTGTCCTCAAATGGGGGGGGGGGGGGGGGGGGGCCTCTGGCCACAGAAGATGATTACACTAGCAGCCACCTGATGCTCGATCTACCCGCCTGCGGAGGAATAATGTAATTATAACATTGTCTGATAGATTTATGACTTGTATCGGTGGCATAAGGCAGGCAGGCTCAAATCATTCGTGAAGTTCAGAAGAGATAAGCACGGCCGTAAATGCCTCTAAGTTGTAAACGCTCTGAAGATACATGCCTTTTTTGAGGTTTTGTGTGTTTGAACATTTTTCTGCAGAGATTCTCAGTGTGGATGTGGCTGGGGTTAAAGGCTCAGAGTCAGAGCATGTTGGAAGGC